CTGGTTCTGGTTCTGGCTTTCGCTCTGGTTCTGGTTCTGGCTCTGGCTCTGGCTCTGGTTCTGGCTCTGGCTCTGGCTTTGGCTCTGGCTCTGGCTCTGGCTCTGGCTCTGGCTCTGGTTCTGGATCTGGCTCTCGCTCTGGTTCTGGCTCTGGCTCTGGCTCTGGCTCTGGTTCTGGTCTGGCTCTCGCTCTTGCGTTCTGGCTCTGGCTCTGGCTCTGGCTCTGGCTCTGGATCTGGCTCTGTCTCTGGCTCTGGCTCTGGCTCTGGCTCTGGCTCTGGCTCTGGCTCTGGTTCTGGTTCTGGTTCTGGCTCTCGCTCTGGTTCTGGTTCCGGCTCTGCCTCTGGCTCTGGCTCTGGCTCTGGTTCTGGTTCTGGCTCTGGCTCTGGTTCTGGCTCTGGCTCTGGCTCTGGTTCTGGTTCTGGCTCTGGCTCTGGCTCTGGCTTTGGTTCTGGCTCTGGCTCTGGCTCTGGTTCTGGCTCCTCTGGCTCTCGCTCTGGTTCTGGCTCTGGCTCTGGCTCTGGCTCTGGCTCTGGTTCTGGCTCTGGCTCTGGCTCTGGCTTTGGCTCTGGCTCTGGCTCTGGCTCTGGCTCTGGTTCTGGTTCTGGCTCTGGCTCTGGTTCTGGTTCTGGCTCTGGCTATTGGGGGTGGTTGTGGGCTTTGGCTTGGTCTGGCTCTGCTCTCTGTTTGGCTGCCTCTGTTGACCAGGCCTTGGCTCTGGCCTTCTGGTTCTGGCTCGGCTCTGGCTTCGGCTTTTGGCTCTGGTTTTCTGGTTTCTGGTTCTGGCCTCGCTCTGGCTCTGGCTCTGGCTCTGGTTCTGGCTCTCGCTCTGGCTCTGGCTCTGGCTCTGGTACTGGTTCTGGTTCTGGCTCTCGCTCTGGCTCTGGCTCTGGCTCTGGCTCTGGTTCTGGCTCTGGCTCTGGCTCTGGCTTTGGCTTTGGCTCTGGCTCTGGCTCTGGCTCTGGTTCTGGTTCTGGTTCTGGCTCCCGCTCTGGTTCTGGTTCTGGCTCTGGCTCTGGCTCTGGTTCTGGCTTTGGCTCTGGCTGGCCTCTGGCTCTTGCTTTGGCTCTGGCTCTGCGGCCCTCTGGGCTCTGGTTCTGGCTACTCTGGCTCTCGCTCTCGGTTCTGGTTTCTGTCTTTTTCTGGCTCTGGCTCTGCTCCTGGTTCTGGCTCTGGCTCTGGCTTTGGCTTGGCTGCTGCTCTGACTCTGGCTCTGGTTTCAAGTTCTGGCTCTGGTCTGGTTCTAGGCGTTGGCTTCTGTCTGGCTTTGGCCGGGCCTCTGGCCTGGCTTGTCTGGTTCTGGGCCTCGCTCTGGTTCTGGCTCTGGCTCTGGCTCTTGGCTCAGGTCTGGCTCTGGCTCTGGCTCTGGCTTTTGGCTCTGGTTCTGGCCCTGGTTCTGGTTCTGGTTCTGGCTCTCGCTCTGGTTCTGGCTCTGGCTCTGGCTCTGGTTCTGGCTCTAGCTCTGGCTCTGGCTCTGGCTCTGGTACTGGTTCTGGTTCTGGCTCTCGCTCTGGCTCTGGCTTTGGCTCTGGCTCTGGTTCTGGCTCTGGCTCTGGCTCTGGCTGTGGCTTTGGCTCTGGCTCTGGCTCTGGTTCTGGTTCTGGTTCTGGCTCCCGCTCTGGTTCTGGCTCTGGCTCTGGCTCTGGTTCTGGCTCTGGCTCTGGCTCTGGCTTTGGCTCTGGCTCTGGCTCTGGCTCTGGCTCTGGTTCTGGTTCTGGCTCTGTCTCTGGCTCTGGTTCTGGCTATGGCTCTGGCTCTGGTTCTGGTTCTGGTTCTGGCTCTCGCTCTGGTTCTAGCTCTGGCTCTGGCTCTGGTTCTGGTTTTGGCTCTGGCTCTCGCTCTGGTTCTGGCTCTGGCTTGCTTGGTCACTCGGGGCTCCTGGTCTGGCTGCGGCTCTGACTTCTGGCTTCTGGTTCTGGTTTCGCTCTCGCTTCTGGCTTGGCCTCTGGCTCTCGCTAGTTGGACTGGCTATGGTCTTCTGGCTCGGGTCCGGTTCTGGCTTCGGCTTTGGTTTCTGGCTCGGCTCTGGCTCTGGCTCAGGTTCTGGGTTCTGGCTTCTCGCTCTGGTTCTGGATCTGGCTCTGGTTCTGGCTCTGGCTCTGGCTTTGGCTCTGGCTCTGGCTCTGGCTCTGGCTGTGGCTGTGGTTCTGGCTCTGGTTATGGTTCTGGTTCTGGCTCTCGCTCTGGTCTTGGTTCTGGCTCTGGCTCTGGCTCTGGCTCTGGCTCTGGTTCTGGCTCTGGCTCTGGTTCTGGCTCTGGCTCTGGCTCTGGCTCTGGCTCTGATTCTGGTTCTGGTTTTGGCTCTCGCTCTGGTTCTGGCTCTGGCTCTGGCTCTGGCTCTGGCTCTGGTTCTGGCTCTGGCTCTGGCTCTGGCTCTGGTTCTGGCTCTGTCTCTGGCTCTGGCTCTGGCTCTGGTTCTGGCTCTGGCTCTGGCTCTGGCTGTGGCTCTGGCTCTGGCTCTGGCTCTGGCTATGGTTCTGGCTCTCGCTCTGGTTCTGGCTCTGGCTCTGGCTCTGGCTCTGGTTCTGGCTCTGGCTCTGGCTTTGGCTCTGGCTCTGGCTCTGGCTCTGGTTCTGGTTCTGGCTCTCGCTCTGGTTCCGGCTCTGGCTCTGGCTCTGGCTCTGGTTCTGGCTCTGGTTCTGGCACTGGCTCTGGCTCTGGCACTGGCTCTGGCTCTGGTTCTGGCTCTGTTTCTGGCTCTCGCTCTGGTTCTGGTTCTGGCTCTGGGTCTGGCTCTGGCTCTGGCTCTGGCTCTGGCTCTGGCTCTGCTTCTGGTTCTGGTTCTGGCTCTCGCTCTGGTTCTGGTTCTGGCTCTGGCTCTGGCTCTGGTTCTGCTTCTGGCTCTGGCTCTGGCTCTGGCTCTGGCTCTGGCTCTGGTTCTGGCTCTGGCTCTGGTTCTGGCTCTGGTTCTGGCTCTGGCTCTGGCTCTTATGGCTCTGGCTCTGGCTCTGGCTCTGGCTTTTGCTCTGGCTCTCGCTCTGGTTCTGGTTCTGGTTCTGGCTCTCGCTCTGGTTCTGGCTCTGGCTCTGGCTCTGGCTCTGGTTCTGGCTCTCGCTCTGGTTCTGGCTCTGGCTCTGGCTCTCGCTTTGGCCCTGTCTCTGGCTCTGGC